TTTCTGGCCTCTGTTTTACTCCATCCTCCAGTGCGTGTTCTCCAGGTTGACTTTGACCTTTCCTTTTGTCCCTGTCTAGTTCTTCCCAAGAAGCCTTTGAGGAGAAAAGGCCAAAGGGGATGGATTCCCTAGAGGCCCAGCTGGTTGGCCTGAGGCAGGAGCTGGTGGCCTTGAGCCAGAGCCAGGCTGAGGTGGAAAAAGAATTACACCTTTGGCCAGAGAAGATGGCGGCCCTGCGCAACGAGGTAAATCGTCCAGTTGCCCAGTTAGGCCACGCATCCATTGGGCGCTTCCCAAAGATGTAGGCCTATTGAGTGGACTTTGTGATATGGACAGGACGTTCCTCATCTGTCAATTGGGATAATAACAGCCCCGAGCGGGTCCAATGAGATGACCTCATTTACAGACCTCAAAGCAGTGGAGAAATGCCAGTCACTTGGTTCACCATCTCTTCCCTGGCACCAAGCTGGCACGTGCTGTTCCCAGAACTCAGAGTGACTCTAGACACCCCAGGCCCCCTGTCCAGGTCCTCTTGCTTCCTCATTTCTGCTGTTGCTCTGGTGTTTGCTGAATTCTTTCCTCTGTTGGCTTCTAGATGGAGTTTCAGGTCCCAGCCTTGATGCAGAAATACCATCTCAGAGACCAGGGCACTCAGGCTGGGCTTGTACAGCTCGTGCAGGCCCAGCTTCATGACCTGGAGCAAACACTGCTGAACCATGTGGCAGAGGAGCAGGACAAGTCTGTCAACAAAATTGCTACTGACTTGAGGCTGACCCTTCTAAAGGAAGGAGTGACCACCGGGGTGACCAAGGAGGTGAGCCTGGCCCTTCTGCCTGTCCTCCTACCTGGCGTCACGGGTTTGTCCTGAGAGGAGCCTGCCAGGAGGGAGGGGAAAGCCCAGGTCAAGCAGTTAGCAAGCTTGCCCATCCCCTACATGAGCTGGGCGGGGCCTGCAGGTGGCCCGTCCCACAAGTGGTACATGCCTGTCTTTTAGGAAGTGCATGAGATGGTGCAGCAGGCCCTGAAACTGTATAGTGAAGATCGAATCGGGCAGGTGGATTACGCCCTGGAGTCCTCAGGTAGGTGACCTGCAGAAAACCAGAGGGCTTGGGACAAGAGGGACTGGAAAATCAGGATAGCCATTATGAGACAGGAAGAATTGACAAATCAGGATGCACTTTACGGGCCCGTGCAGTTAGGAGGGCTGATGTCCTGGCAGCACCCCCTCGCCTTGAGGGCTGCCCTAAGTCATCTCTGTGTCCTGCCAGCCCTTGGGTGCCCCCTCCACCTTCTCTCTCTGTTGGTCTTTCAGGGGCCAGCATTCTCAGTAGCCGCAGCTCAGAAACCTATGGCACCAGGATGGCCATTGTCAGTCTGTTTGGCATCACCTTGTGGTACCGTATCCAGAACCAAAGAGCCATCCTCCAGGTAGGGCTGAACAAAGGTACCCCAGCTTGGCTCTCTGCCTGCCATTTCTCCCCTCCTCTGTGGGGGCTGGGACCTCAAGGCAGAGGGGCCTCAGGATCTGAATCTCTTCCACATGCTGCCACCTTTCACTTGATTTGTCTTCCCCCCACAGCCAAATGTCTACCCTGGCAACTGCTGGGCATTCCGGGGCCCCCAGGGCTTTGTTGGGGTTCGCTTGTCTGCCCTCATCCACCTTACCGCTGTCACTCTGGAGCACGTGCCCAAAGCCCTGTCCCCAGACAGCGACATCACCAGTGCCCCCAAGGACTTTGTCATCTTGGTGAGTACCTGAGCCTGGCAGCTGTCCTTTCTCGAAATATGGAAAGTGCTTTCTTGACAGCAGCAGCATTTAGAGGTAAAAGTTGGAAGGATGTGCCCATTGCACAGATGGGACATTGAGGATGGTCTCTTGATTCTTCCAGTCCAGTCCTTCTGTTCCTCCTCCTCTTCTTGAAGAGGAACCAGGAAAAG